TTATATTGATCATTTTTAACTTTCTTCAAGTCTCATATGAGTTTATAAAAGTCATTGGCTGCTACCACTCACGTATTAAGTGAAGTGGTGAGCTGTGAAATTCCGAAATGAGGATTATTATGAAACGAGCTGGGTCTTCCTGGATTGAGTAGAAAGAATATGGTCTTTGGGACGCGTTGTCGATTGTCTGCAAGCCATGATTGGGAGTTGCGGCCGTACAACTCTGTGTACAGCGACCGTACAAACAGTGGCCAATCAGTAGCCTCCGTTTAACCTAATCCCCCCATCCTTCGCCGTACAACTCTGTGTACAGCGACCGTACAAACAGTGGCCAATCAGTAGCCTCCGTTTGTTTAACCTAATCCGCCATGTTGATCAGAATTAAGCACCCTACGTGACACTTCACTCAAAATGACCCTACTGAATAAACGCGTTCAGTGCTATACGTCTGTTTCCTATAAAGCTGAGTTATAGCTTAGCTAGTTCTAGAAGTCTAGCTAGATATAGGAGAATCGGCCACAGAGATTTCTGTGTCAGTCAGGCTTTACTAGCGTATATCAATCCGCAACAGGCCTGAAGGCCTCATTTGAATGAACGAGGCGGGATTTAGCTGATGAGAATTCGCCAGGTATTACTGAATCTCTCGGCTTGGAATCACTTAATTTGTTCAATATAATAAGAAATTAGGTTTCTACCAATTTCCGATAATTCTTTCTATTTTCCTAACCAGAAAGTTTGATTTCTGAGATTTTAAGCCAAGAAGGCAAGATTAGTCAAAGTATTGCAATTACTTCAACATGTCAAACTGAAAATTTAGAAATTAAATAAAAGTATATTCTAAAATCATGCAATCCTTTGCTACTTTTCTGTTACTTTTCCATCCATTTCGGATAACAAAATAAAATCGATTTGCCTATATTCTTTGTTCATTTTAACACTAAGTAGTACCGAAATATTTCCAAACTGGCATCATTAATGATCTTGGATTTATTCACAGGTTATCGGATTCGATAATAGCTTTAAATTACTCAAACTCTCCTCTCATCTACTAATGAAATCATCACATTTGTTTACTTCCATTCGAAACCTCAATAAAACTGATATATGTATTTCGAATTTAGTTGAAAAGCAATCATGTGCTCTGTGAGTACACGTGCCGTTTATTTTCGAACAATAAGCAGAGAATCGTGGGGTTTTATAACCCTAACCCAAAAGTATCTGCTTTCAAACAAAACTAGGGTACTAACTTCAGTAGTTATGTCATTCACTAGTCATAAGCATGTGATAAATTTTTAGTTCACTCGCTAATCTACTTCGAATTATCGTTGCAGTGCTTAGGTGAGTAGTGCCTGAAACTTTACAATTGGATATTCAGTATTACTAGACTGTTGGTTGACTCATGCCCAGAAAGAGGTATTAACGAGAGCGAAGTCACTCAGGTGCATATTATTTTCTTTAAAATTTATTATAGATTAAAATTCACTCTATGACTAAATCAATGAGTGAAAGCGAATAAGTGCCGAACTGATAGCAGTTCATGTTCCAAATGTTTGTCCAACTGTCGGGAGCGATGACCTAGAGACTGGTTGAGGTAATTGTTATAATCAAGGCAAAGCATATATATATATATAGAATCAAGCTTTGTTTAACTGCTTCCAACATTTGCTAATAATTTTATATAGAAAGTAACATAGAATGCCTATCTCATATTTTTTCAACTATTACTTTTAATGAAATAAATACCATATAAGAAAGAAAATTATAAACTGGAGTTCATATTGCAAAAATTAGTTATAATAAATCAAAATTGCAGAAAATCTGTGCACATGTATTTGAGTGAGTACAAATTCAATTATAACCTGCAGAACAGCCTGGAGCAAAAATGGAATATTATCTCAGCTTCCTTCTAAAGCACATTCCTTTGATATTCCCCCGCGTTTTACACTAACATATCAACACAAATAAATAAAATAAAGAAATAAATAGATATTGGCAGAATATGCACCTCTCTATTTTAGCCGTATTACCCAAAAAGATCTCTTTTGGCAAGGATCTCCACAATATTGCTTGTCATTTTTAGTGAAAGTTTGTAATTAGAACTGTTGTGTACAAAGAGAATAGGCTTTGTTTAATGAGCGTTGAGTTAATAATAATAATAATAATACAAAAGAAGGTGCCTGGGACATTCATTCAGTCATTTCAAATGGCAGGCGTTTTGATAATTGCCAATAGCCCTTTAGCTGACTTCGAGCTTCATAGAGAGGAGGAGGAACATCAAAGTGACAAAAGTCAAGAAGGGGGGGCAGAATAATGGTTCACAGAGGTAAAATAGACAGACAGGCACAAAGGCAGAGAAGGGGTAAGATGGATACTGTGGAAGAGGTCGAGTATGACATACATTGGGGTCATTGTAGTTAGCAGTGAGAAGCCACCTGCCGGTTTATAGACTTTTTGCGTATGAGCATACGTTTCCCGGGGTGCTCCACGTGGAGGTAAGTCTATCGCACACCACATGCCTGGGACATAGCCACGTCAAATATTAGGTAGTTTTGTCTCCGATGCAAGTGTATAGAGTCGTTATAAAGTTCTGAAGCGACTAGAAAGGGAATCATTCTCTCAAGTTTGTCCAACTAATCACAGAAGAACCGAGAAGTGCCCGCAATCAAGGAAGCCAATGGTAATTCATTCGGAAGTGCCCATAATTGAGTTGACATCTAATCACCGCTCATTCACTCAAAATTCATGAAATACATTGTTATAAGGACCTGAGGGGAACTGCTTTTCTAATAAGCATCGATTCATATTCAGTAATCCCTGTAGAAGGATCCCCAAGTTTAAAATGGTTCGCAGAATTAGTTAAGCTACCAGAAAACTATAGAGGAAACAGACGTTTGCCGTGGAACAAATTTACTTGGGCTGTGTATGTGTGTTGGCAGACAGGAAGCTCATTCATTATATACAATTTCGTCTTCATTAACCATGCCATGACTATTGGTTGCTGATTGGTTGAAGGGGTTTTGTAGTCGTAGCCTCATTTGCTCCCTAGTGTGATTGGCATCATGATCGTACGTTTCAGAGTGTTCGAACGCGCAAGGACTTCTTTGCTTCAGCTATTCCAGCGTTGTTCCCCACATACTACAAAGAAACGACGACAAGCGAAACAAATGTTTACATAAAGTCCTTTTGATGAGTGCGAAATATATCTTTCCATTTACGTAATCTACCGTGGTCTAAAATCAGACAATATGCTCATAAATAACAAAGAAATACTCGATAATTGAGATTGGGAGGGGAGAACAGGGGGCGCAATTTGACCACTGATGGAAAATTTAAAAGAAAGTAATATTGTAACCCAGCACATATAAGTAGTGAAATCGCGTTAGATTTATGACCATCTCCTCACCTTGATAATTCCTAAACTGAAATATACTAACGTATTTTTTAGGTTTGATGTTAGGATTGAAATTGATGAGAAGAAAATTCGAATTCTAGTTCTCCCAACAAATGGGAATCTTATCAGGAAATCTTGAAAGCTGTGGTATGCAGACTGAACCTAGTTGGCCAGTTGTATATGATCTCAATGAAATATCGTGAAAACGAGTGAGTTAATAACGCTGTTGACTATGTACTATTTACCACTACCAATTCTCTCATAGTATATTAGGGTTTTAAATAAAAGGTTTGAATCATTCGCTAATGCTGCTTCTTTTGCGTCAAAGATTCAAGAGTATCTCCTGAATAAGCCAGATGACAAGAATATCAAACAAATTTTGGAAGGGTAATGAAATAGAAAGATAGTCAGTCTGCTAGACATTTTACACTATTAAGATAAAGTCATTTTGTGACCCTAACCTTTGCATTTGTGCAAGTCGTGTGTGTAATTTTTAAAAGCCAAAACTCAACACGTTTATCGTTTGACATGAAGCATCATATTTCGTCTCCATGGACCGCGGATAGCCCATGTTTATCTATAAGTTCATTTTAAATGCAAATTTTACCGAACTTATCCAAAAAGTGCTACATTAGCGGGTCCGGATATTCGACATCGATTTCATACTATGTGTTAGTTGAAACGCAGTAGCCAGTTATTTTCCACAAATGCTTGGATTTCCTACACAGACAAACGATTAATTTGATAGCCAAAGAAAATGAACATACTCAACTGCGTAAAACTCAGGAAAACCTCCTTTAAGCTAAGTTATCCAAAATTGTTACTCTTTCTTTTCTATCCATTCTTTTAAAATTATTACTAACTTTAATCTACCTTCCTGTTAAGCCAATGGAGGACCGATTATCATTTTAGCAAGATTTAATGTAGACATTAAGAGTTAAAACTATTTTCTGAGCAAATAAAGTGAAATTAAAACCGGGAGGATCACTACATAAGTGAAAAACGTACGGCAGGATTGTTTAAAATAACCAGGTCATATCACATAGATTAAGCATGATGATTCATTAAGGAATATTTATAAGAGAACATAATGAAAGACTTTGTTTATATATTTACACAATACAAAGAAATAATTTATGATTTATAAACTCATCCACACCATTTGTACGTTACTTTGTCTTTGTACTATTATGTTTAGCAATTCTATTAACATATCTATTATTCTCTGATTCTTTCCGTTTTCAAGCACTATCTCCTAATGACTACCAAACCTCGTGAGAGTTAATATATAATATCATCAGGAATATAGTGAAATAAATCCTTTCACCAAAGATGTTTTTTGCTGATAATGAAATTTCGATAAATCGCATATTATGTTGTGGGTATTATTGTCTATGGTTAAAAATATAATAACATTCAAAAGGCTTATGATATTTTTGCTTGACGAGGCTAAAATATTTCAAGGTTACGGACAACTGTTATAATAGCGTATCTATTTTGACTCACTCGCGTATTGTGCTTGCTCTATTATTTGGAATAATTTCGAACCCTTTACTTAAGCAAATTTGTTTACATATGCTTTGCAAATAACTGCGCTGAAATAAAGTTAATGATAGCGCCGGTGGATGTTGAGCGTGAGAGCATTCTTGCTGCAACCAGGTTCGCAACTAATGAGATTCTCGAATATATAAATCATTTCAAAATATCATGCGTTCAAATTGACACTCATGACCAAACTCCGAACACCTTTTGTCAGATAGTTTCTCGTCTTTTATGCATAATTGAAAATGGGGTCTGCCATGGCCTAAAGTTGACCGAACCAAACTCGCCTAATTCACCGGATCCATGGCCGATTCTGAGTTATGCTAAGTTTGACGAACAATGCCAGCACAATCATGATGAAATTGCTCGAAATATTAAGACTGGGCTTGGCAGGGCTCGATTTTGGATTCGACAATCACTTGTGTGCAAAGTATGGACATCCTTTTTTCTTTTTAATGTTTAGAAACTCGGGTCAAACTTGTTGTCGGTCGTGGAAAGGAAAAATGAACCATGCATTCCTGCTAACTCAATCAATCTCCCAAGTAATAGTAACACAGGTTTCTGTTCTTTTGCGGAACTTTACTCCAAAGATTCGCTTCTAATGACTGCATCGGGAGTTGCTTTCGTTGGTATTCTTAGCGGTTTAGATGTTATTGATTTTTCCTATATTCCCGAAGATGATTTCACTCAGCTAGATCTCCCTGTATGTTATTCTATTTATATATATTCAATCCATTTATATTATCTGTTCTAGCTATTTCCAATTGACTATGGCTCTTGTATAAAATTTTATTCCCACGACACAAACGGTTCTTCATCACCGTAAGTGATGTTGCACAGAATATCTATTTTCGTTATTTTCTATTTATAGAGATAATCAGGATGACAGTCTTTCATCTTTACTTGAAAATAAACGGAGCCTTGAAGAAGAACTTGCTACCAATCAGTGTGTTCCATTTCTCTTCACGCCTTAATATTTGCTTGTTTTTCTTAAAATAGATCGACTTTGGGTAGCCTCACGAAAATGCTCAAACGTTTCAAACTTGAAAATGAAGCCTTGAAGCTTTCTAAAGCGGACTTGGAATCTGAAATTTCTAAATTGAAAATAAACAATGAGAAACTATCGAATCTGTATGTTCGACAGACAAGGGTACGTTGAATGATTTTCATTACTCTAATCTTTTTTACAAATTCATTCATATTTCATTGAGTTAGCGATTGAGTTGATATGGACCTTTGAGTTTTTCGTCATTTTTGCTATGGAAATATCGAAATTGTCTCTCTCACATCTGATTGCACTTTATTTTATCAAACCGAATGAGACTTTGACTTTCGCAAGTCGTAGAACTCTGATCATTGTGGATATTGACTAATCTAGAATCGTGGGGGGGGGGGGGGGGGGGAATTCGTATTTTGGAATATTGGAATTACACCTCTATGAGAAAGTGGCTACCGGGGTGTTGAGAAGATCACGCAAGGGTAGCACTAAAATGCGCAGTGTAATTAGTGGATTTCTTGCCTTAGCTTTTAGTCTACTTCACATTCTCTTAGTATTCTCTGCGTATCATCTTTTGCCCTCTTCTCTACTCACTAACGCCTACCAGCCCTAACCCCAAACTTGGAAATAGTGGTGTAAATCGCGTTTCTCCACATATAAATGCGCTATCTGACATATCTATTACCTATGAACTGATATAAGCTTCATACTTATTTAAAATTGGTTTTCTATTAGTTGTCTGGGTGAGCAAAGTCGTGCTCAATGTCATACAATGGACTTGTTATTGTCTCATCTCTTTGGGATTTGGTTAGGATTGTCTATGTCTTTCAATTTTGCTTTTTACTCATTTCGACATTTTTATATAGACGTTCTTCTCCATGGTGTGTGAAATTGGATTGTCAGTGGTTCTATTAGCGAATGCCTTTGGAGGTGTGTTGTTCATCTTCATTCATCACTTCGTGCTTGGGGATCATATGCATTAAGCTATTTTCGGGCTTTAGTAGATGTGAAGATGTAATCTGCTGAAGGAAAAAGTTGATTCGTTCGTTTCCTTGCCACACAGGTCAGGAGTATTTGTGATGTTATTTTTTTCTAAAGATCCTCGCAATTGTTCCACTAATGTCAACATTGAGGATACGTAATCACCTTAACTTACCCTTTTCTTTACCTTTCTGTCTGTCTGTCTCTTCTACATCTGTGAATCACTCTTCTGTTTCCCCCCTCTCGACTTTTTGTACTTTAATTTTCCCCTCCTCTATGTAGTCTGAAATCAACTAAAGGGGCTAATGATGACTATCATAAAGCCTGCCATTTGATATTAATTAATTTATATACCCCCAGGTTGTAAGATTACCTGGTTAACAATGCCAATCTGTCACATGACTTTTCAAAACTTTCTGAAGCACAAATTGATAAAAAAATTCGACACTAGAAATCAATATTGACCGTTGTACTTGAGAAGAAGTGGATCTGTTTAATGCATTAATTGGCTTTTGCTGTTTAACCATTTTCAGTGGATGTTTCTTTCTGTTTTTTTTTCCAGGAGATGCAGAGTGAGCTAGATGCCGCTAAGCGCTCGAATCTCTTCCACGGCAGTCAGAAAGCTGAACTGGAAAGGCAAGTTAGCGAAGAAAGGAGACGTCGACTTGTAAGCTATTGATTTTATTTTTATACATTGCCCCCTTATTTTGCATATTAGGAAGTCGAGAATGCTTTATCAGAAGAGAAGGAGGCAAGAATTGCCATGGAAACTGAAATATCACGTCTACAAACTTTTAATATCGAAAGAGAGACTTCCCTAACAGAACATCGCAATCAGATCGCTGAGATGGTGAAGTTGAATAAAGAATTTTCTGAAAAGCTTCGGGTATATTTTACTGCTTATACCTATACTAATTCAGTGGTCTAGATTTGGCCATCTCCATTCAATTATTTTAGAGTGTGACTGCGGAACTTGAGGCCACCAATAAACGTGCTGCCGATCTTCAGGAGAAGGTTGATGGAATGTCCTCTGTTTTGACTGCGATGAATGAAAGATGTCATCAGTTGAAGGATGAGAAAGAGGCTAACGAGAGAACCATGAAAGAGGCCGTTGAAAGGGCTAATCAGGCAGACCGACAGTGTGTTCAGTTGCATGCTGACCTTGAGGCGAATAAAGAAACCACTCAGAATTTGCAGTCGCAGTTGGAAGAGGTGTATACTGATTTGGTTAGCATCAAGGCTCTGCAGGAGAACTTAGATCGAAAAAGTCAAGTGAGTCAATCTCGGAATCTTACTTCTTCTCCTTCTCATGGACTTAATTCTGCGTACTTTTTTTCTATCTGGTTGCAGTTCTGTTGATATGTGCATCTTTAATGACCTTTGAGGTCGTTGCCTTTTTGCACGTAGTTGTCGAGTTAAGTAGGTCACATTTTTTACCTTTCTGGGTTACTTCGCATTTGCGGACCTTCTTACCAGTGTTATTCCTCAATTCTTTTGGATAAACTCAATGGGACATAATTTTTGCCTCCATCGATTGGTTTGGTTACATGCCAGAATTGATTTTCACTATCGAACAAGCTTTAGGGAAATTGAGGGTGTAGAGTAAGAGATTTCGGCTCTGAAGTGGGAAAGTTCCCTTTATTTTATATTCTTTCTCTCTATTTCTGAGATATCAAATGGCAGGCATTTTGATGGTTATCATTAGCTCTTTAGTTGACTTCAGGCTTCACAAAGAGCTAAAGCAACATCAAAGTGAAAAAAGTTCGAGAGGGTGGGGGGGGGGAACGGAAGAGTGTTTCAAAGACGAAGGTAGAAAAAGGTGAGGTGAGTACTGTGGAAGTAGTCGAATATGAAATGCAGTGGGGTGATGATAGTTTGAAGTCAGAAGTCAACTGCCGGTTAATAGACATTTTTTCCGTATGAGTATACGTTGCCTAGGGTGCACCACGTGGAGGTAAGTCTATTGCACACCCCGTCTCTGAGATATTGTAGTGGAGCTTCTCTTGAGTTCTCTCTCGCTGCGTAACAAGATGCATAGAGTTTTAGTTTTACCTTTATGCTCATAGGTTTATTGTGCTTTTGCTTCTTTTAGAGTTTGAGAGAACGCGATGCGTTAATCTCTGACCTGCAGCGACGATGTGGTGAGGCAGAGCAAACCCTGTCGGAGATGTCAAATGTGCTTGAGGTGGCCCGACTACGGGCAGAGCATGCAGAGGAGCGTGTTCGCAGTCTTTCAACAGCTAAGTGGATGTCTGACTCTGAAGCCACCTCTTGTGCCCTCTGTGATGCTCGTTTCTCCCTATCTAAACGAAAGGTCAGTAAGAACAATTTCAATCAACGGAATACTTACTTTGGGCAGATTATTTTAATGCTCTATCTTGGAGCGAATCGGTTGTTGCATTGTCACCCCTTGCCTGTTGCTAAGAATTACGCTTAACTTCATTGAGGTTTCAGTTTGATCGTTTATCGGCAATGTAACGGGTCAATGGTGATCTTTTCAAATCTGTCGACTACGATTTGTGCACGGTCTGCATACTACTGAAACGCATTCAGTAGTTATTATAATAGCGTCTCGTTATCTAGTTGAATGCTGAAAAATGCTTCCCTTCCTCCATAAACGCGCCAGTGGCTATGTTGTAAAAATGTGAAAACAAGGGCTACGAAATCAATGCCCATAATTAACAATCTAGGGTGGTAGGAGTGGCCAATTGTCCTGTTTCATTTTGGCCAGCAAGAGGATTACAGAGTGCCGAATTTTCTTCAGAAAGCGCTTTCCCTGACTCGTTCAATGTTACGATAGATCAAATGAGAGCTTATCTTTTGTTACAAATCTCTCCCAACACCCACTTTACGTGATTTACAAAACGACTGGGTCTACCTTCTTTATGTTTCATAGTTGTTATCAAACAGTGGGCATTAAAATTGCTTCCAACTGACCATTAGTTTTAGCTGGATATATTTATTTCCTAAGCCGCCTCCTATTTAGTAGCCATTAGAGACTAGGTTTAGAAATGTCCTCTCACTGAGTTGATACTCTAGCTAGGGGCTAATGGAAACGTCAGTCCCTCCCAAATTCAAAGGCACATGGAAGCTAAATCACGGATGAATTGGACAGGAGCAAGAAGCGGGAATTAGTATGACTGTTCACTCTCCCAAATCATTCGTGCCGAAGGTGGCGTTCAAGAGAAGCTGAAAAACGATTCTATGCCAATGAGGATAAGAATGTGGACCTCATATAGGAGATTTAACCCCCCTTTAAGACTGTATCATCAATATGTGTTTATTGCCTTCGCCTGATACACCACCAAAACTCGCCACGTTGGCGGCATCAGTCTGCTGTGAGACACGCGTTTGCGTGCGGTTGGGGAGGGGGGGGGGCGTTTTTCAACAAAAAGTATTTAGGGATAAGTGTTTCTATCGTTAACAATCTACCTCAATATTTGCCCGTGATGTAAATCGTCTCAGTACTAGCCGTTCACTACCAAAACTCTAAGGAGGATATCGTGAGGTGTGAGTTAGAAGCGTTGAGGCAGTTCATCCAGGTAAACAATAGAACACAGGCTATGAAACTCTTCTGCAGACAGAATACCAAAAAAGGCCCGTCGTGGTTGACCATCACACAAGTGTCAATATCGAATCCGTATGTGATTTGTTCTGGCTTAATGGAAAAGGGCAAATGGATTTATTGAGATCTGATGTGCTATGATGGACAATATGTGAGAGTCAATTGCCTTGTCCTTTATGGTCCAATTCTTAATTTATCGACTTCTGACAGAATTCCCATTCATGGTGTGTCGAGAGACAATTATGAATCACTTCTAGGTCTAAATTACTTCCCTCCTCTAGCTGTGAAAATGGGATTACCCACGTGCCATCATTGAATAGGTCTCGTTCGCTTATTGCCTTGACTAGACAGACCTGCAATTTTATCTTTCTGGTTCCTAGAAAACAATATTTACTATTGTGCTTGTTATGAGTCAATATTAATTTGGCATAGGCCGTTAAATTATCTCTTGTCCATGAAGTTGGTCTACCAAAACTTGCATCTGCTTTGCCTATCATTCTTGATAGGTTATTTACGACATTTCAAACATATATACTTTTAACCATGACCTTCATGTCATTCGGAATTCAAGATTAAACTTATTTCCTGTGACCTTGTCCTATTGACATGTATATATATATATATATAAGAGGCAGTGTATTAAAGCTAATTTGCCATAGCAAATCTTCCTATTCACGCGAAAATTCTTACGCCTTGTCACATCAGTTAATTCTGACGTCATCAGTAGCCAATCAGATTGTGCCGAAGCCGACTGTCATTATCAGTTTTCCAGAAACTGTTAGTGTTCCTTTTACACTGGATTTACTTCATTAGAATTTAATTATCCCTTTTGAGTTATTCTGTTTTGATGATCAATTGCACACTCTCATACTTTTTGTTATTTGTAGCACCATTGTCGAAACTGTGGTTTGATCTTCTGTCAGGAGTGTTCTTCCTTCAAGATGCCACTGCCCAGTTCCTCAAAACCGGTTAGAGTTTGCGAAACATGCCACAATCAACTAATGGAACGTTACGCCGTGATGCGGTGACGCGAACCAGCAAATCATTCACATTCCCAACCTCTTCTCTTCCACCACACACAAGTTAATTTCAATTTGTGATTCTAAAACTTGTGCTCTTACTCCCTGTTTCCCCCACCCCGTATGCATTGTTACCTCCATCCTGGTTGGATTGAATGCTCCTGACGTGTCTGCGTTTTCTTTCTATTTTTTTGTCATGAAATATATCATCTTCTACCTTATTATTTTAAGGCATCACTTTCAACTATTTTGCGGGAATCGTGTTTATGCTTGTTGGGGTTCTTCTTACTACCTACCTCACCTTTGTTTTTTGCCAAGAAGTAGGAATTTTGGTTGTCTTGACATTACTCTCAGCGTCTTTTTGGCCAACACCCTGGGATCATTTGCTCGATCTTCTGTTATCTGATATTGTCTGCCTGTCTTAACTAATTGCATCTTACGCCTTGGTTCAAGCACATCGCATTTTTGAGTCCGCTGAAGCAGAAATTTTGGAAATAATGATAACTCTCGTATCCTTAAAACGGAGCACCTTAGTGGTCAACTCCCACTTGTCTTAATTGTACTCGTCAACTGCTTTTAAGTTAAATCAAATTACTCCACTTGCTATTCTAGAGAAAGCCTACTCATCATTTGATAGGTCCTACGAGTTTGTGTAGCTGCGCCATGCATTTTCGTCTATCTTATAAATGTCATTTTGTTTTGATGAATTGTTAATTCAATTTAAGGATCGGAAAATCAAGCAAACGTTGGTGCAGGTGTCTACTCTGAACTCTTCATTTTCACAATAGATCCGCTTTCGAAGGAGAAATAGAGGCCATTCAATAGATCCGCTTTCGAAGGAGAAATAGAGGCCATTAGGATAGCATTATGCCAAAGTGTTTAAGCAAATTTGGGGTGATATTGCATGGGCCTGAAGTTTCAATTCCATTTACTCCTAACCATTCGATTGCAGACTCTTGAACAGCTATGAACTCCACCTTTTCGTTCGAACAACTAAGATTCACATCTAGTGTTTATGTCTGGATAAGTTTTTCAGCATTTTTTCAAATGCAAAGCGTTCAGGCTTTAAAAATTTAACCTCTGTTGCGAATTAAACTCGATCGGATTTATGGCCGAAAAATGGAAACTGGATTCATGTGTACTTTTGATTAGAAAAAAAATACTATTTTATTGCTTCTGTATTGAACTCATCGCTACTGACCTTTCAAGGAATGTAATGTTTGCCGAAGGTACTTTTAAATTTCGTGGAACCATTTTTAATAGGACTGCCAAAGTTCCTTAGCTGAATTTAAAGTAAAAATCAATAGGTCACATTCATAAAATTGTCATTTAACCCTTATCGGTCTTATTAAAGAAAAAAGTGTTTTATTGGAAGGGCAGTTATATTCAAATTCTAACTAACTAAAGCAACAATTTGCGTTGCAAAAAAAATTGGTCCTATTTCTATCCATAAATTCCTTATGAACACCCAATATGAAGCCCTTTTAATGTCAAAATTGGTGTTTTCATTCTTACTAAATAGGTTAAGGAAAAAACCTCGCAACACATCGCACTTCGTAAACTGAGTAATTAACAGGCCGCTTCCAATAACCATCAAATGGCAGGTGTTTTGATGGTTATCATTAGCCCTTTAGTTGACGTCAGACTTCACAGAGAGGAAGGAACATCAAAGTGAAAAAAGTAGAGACGGGGGGGGGGAAACAGAAGAGTGCTTCAAAGGTGTTAAAGAAGCAGACTCAAAGGTAGAAAAAAGGTGCGGTGAGTACTATGGAAGTAGTCGAATATGACCTACAGTGGGGTGATGGTAGTTTGAATTCAGAAGTCAACTGCCGATTTATCGACTTTTTGCCGTATGAATATACGTTGCCCAGGGTGCACCATGTGGAGGTGTGTCTATCGCACACCCCAAATACCGAAATATCGACCGACTTTTCGATGCATTTAGGAGTTTGCATGTGTTCACTGTAGGCGA